GTGTTATCCTAATGTTATTCTGATAATGCTATCAGTTATATTCTTTAGTCTCATAGATCTTCTGAAAAGAGAATTTTTCAGTTTTAAAGGATGACAGGCAAATTTGGAGTTCTGTGGATATTTGTGACTTTTACTAGTTTTGGTAATTAACTGAAATTATTCAAGGAAAGAGAGAGTGTCCTGCTTCCAGAAGATTGCTAAGTTTATGGAACAGAAGATAGAGCAATAATCTGGTAGTAAAACATTATAATAATTCAAGTTCAGTCCAAGAATTTGTAACTGTCAAAATGTACTGAGAATTTGGGCTATAACTTACTGTATTTTCAACACAATCTTTCTATTGTGGGACGTGGAGCTGCTGGAAAGAGTCCAGCGCAGGGCTACAAGGATGATCAGGGGCCTGGAACATCTGCCCTATGAGGAGAGGCTGAGGGAGCTGGGCCTGTTCAGCCTGGAGAGGAGAAGGCTGAGAGGGGACCTGAGCCCCCTCAAGGGAGACAGTGAGGAGGATGGGGCTGGCCTCTTTTCACTGGTGGCCACCGGCAGAACTAGAGGAAACGGCCGGAAACTGAAACACCACAAGTTCCACAGGAACTTAAGGAAATTTTTTTTAATAGTGAGGGTGCCAGAGCACTGGAACAGGCTGCCCAGAGAGGTTGTGGAGTCTCCTTCTCTGGAGATCTTCCAAACCCGCTTGGACGCAGTCCTGTGCCACGTGCTCTAGGTGACCCTGTGTGTGCAGGGGGTTGGACTGGATGATCTCTAGAGGTCCCTTCCAACCTTAAGCATTCTATGATTCTATTCTATGATTCTATGATTATTGGAGAGTTCTCTGAAAGTAAATTTGATTAAAACATATTTATTTTCGTGACAAAAAGGAGGAAGGGACTTGGAAGGGTCTTGCATCAGACTTCCTGCTTTGGCACACAGAGCTCACATAGAGCTTTTCTATTGCTAAGAAACAATCACAATTTCTTGGCCTATATTTAGCTGCCCAATGTATCAGATCATTCCAGGGCAGCTTTTCTTATTTGTCTTGTTCAAGTAATAACCAGAGGATATTTTTTCTTTTTAGTCTTGCATGGCTGGCTTGTGAAAATCTAGGTAACGTGAACTCAAGTGCTATCTCCTTTGTGCACTCTGTAAACATGGTTACGTGTGTGTGAGAAAACAGTGATGTTAGCTCTATTTGCCTTTGTAGAATTGCCATGGATTAAAAAAAAAAAAAAAAAAAAAGGAAAGAGAGTAAGTCTCAGAAAGGTGGGTATGGGGACTAGAAGGTGCAGCACTGTTAAGGAGCCTGTGTGTGAGTGACACAGTAGAGTGTCTTAAAAATAGGGACTGTTTTTATGCAGCATTTCCCTGTCATCTCCCTTTGGCAAGGGATGAGGCCAGCAGAGATCTTCAGGATAAAGTGAATATAGTTTTCCTGTGGAAAAATGTGGACCTTAATCTTTGTGAGAAGAAATGGAATTGAAAGTATATATGATAGAATTCCCTCTTTCTGTGTAAGAGGAGATAGAAAACAAAAGGTGAAGCTCAAGTATCAACTGTAGGTGCTCCAAGCGTGTAAGCTCTTAGAAGTCCTCCAAGGAAGCAGTGACTGGTGTAAAAGCTGAGTTTAATCTCTTTAGGAATAACTAGTGAAATAAATGTTTCCCTCTTTTAGCATCATCCACGGAATGAACCTGGGGTCAGGTGGAAAGAAAAAAAATCATGCTATGATGTTTGTGTTAAAGGAGTTATTAATCCAACCAACGCAGTGCTGTAGAAAGGCTGGTTTTGTTCCTTCCTTAGCCAAGAAGGAAGGAACAAGGGCAGGTGGCAGAATGAGCCTAGATGCCTGGGTAGCTCTGGTGGGCTGTGGATTTCTATGGAGCTTTGATCACACCTACTGCTTGCTGGCCAAAAGGAGGAACAACCTAGGGACGAATCTGGGAGTGGAAGGGTTTGCGCCGAAATCATTTCTATAAGATATTTTTTATATGGCATCAGGGAAGTCATTTATTTTGTTTGTGCCTTTGGTAAATACAGTTTTGGGTTTTTATTTTATTTTGACATAAGCAAACCTCATGACAGAGCATCTGTAGATACATATAGAAAGTGTGTGGAAGATGTATCGGAAGTGTAATTTTCTTATAATGAAATTTAATGTTTTTAAGACTTTATTAAATTATGCAAATGATAGAAAACTCTCATTCCTAGTTTACTGATAAAACTTTTAATGAAATTATATTTTAAATTAAGTTTTATAGATTTTTTAAATGAGGTATTATAAATACAAAGCGCACTTGCCATTAAAAGTGGGTATTTTGTAATGCAAACGGGAGGACAGGATACAAGGCAGGGGAATTCTGTCATCTCTGCAGTCCTAACCTTTGCAAACCATACAGCTCTTAAAGGCAGGTCCTGCCTATTTACATTAAGATACTCATCCACAGGCTGTGTTCTTCACATCCACTCTTCTCTACACCCAGGTCTTTATTTTCACTCGTAACTGTGCATTAAGTGCCAGATACACCTTTCTGTTCTGTAAATCACACTCTCCTAGGTAAGGACACTTGTTGCTCTCTCTCACTTGAGATTTTCTGTTCTTTTGCCTCCACAAAAACATCTAATTCAGTGCAAAGGCTCCATGGGAAAGACACATTCGTATTGTCCCTGTCCCTCTTGCCCATCTTTCGATGTTGTCTGTGCATTTTTGCTTAATTTTTGTCGTGGGGCTTTATAAATGGATATTAGTACACTATCGGTGCTCTCCATATAATAAATGAGGTCACCCTGGTTACTGGAAGAGTGACGTGTTCTTATAGAAGAACTCCAGAAAAGCACAGTTTAGAGGCTGAAGGATAAGGAGTGGCACCCTGTATTTATTCATACAAAAGAAGACCCGGGGTGTTGCATGAGGCACACTGAGATAGTAAGAAATCTGTGCATTGGTCCTGAAACTCAAATTTTAATGAGCGTAATTCTAGGCTGCTAAACTACTGTTTTTCTTAGGTTTAAGATTATAACCTGAAAAGAAACTATTTCAAAGAAGAAAGTTATTGTACTTACAGGCCTCTGCAGGCAGACAGCCCGGTTGCTGGGGAGCTGGGATACAGGAGCATATTTCATGGAAAGGGGATCCCAACATGACAGTGTTGCTAGTTATTTTTTGTCTTGGAGAAAGAGGAGAGATGAGCTTGCCTAACGATTTCAGTATGGAAAGGTAATGTTTAGTTTATGTGGACTGGAAGCAATGAGAAGACTAAGACAGGATCTTTGGTGATCTTAGCATGAGATACTTCTGTGCCTCTGTGAAAAGTTATAAAATAAAATTCACAGAGTTGTTAAAACAATCTAGATTTTCTTAGCAGAGAAAGTAAAGTTTATTTGAATGTGACATGCCATATATAAACATAATTCTAGTTGCTTTTTAAATTTAAAAATGATTTTTTTCTTTTTATAAATACACTCATGAGATTTCCTCTGAAGGTGTTTGATACAATTGACAGTATATATATATATAATTAAAAATAGCATATTGCTGAATTCAGAAAATACAATATTCTATCAGGAATATTCATGAAACTTTCAAGGAATTTTCATGTGTCTGTCCTGAATTTTCTTTTACTGACATAACAATGACATACCGAAGGCTAAAGTAGACAATGATAAAATAGTGTGCTTTACAGCATACAGAATATCTTACATACATTCTTTTCCTAAAATACAGTTTCAGCATTTGAAATTATTAAAAATGAAATTAAAGCAAAACATGTTAAAACCTTCATAAAAATTGGCACACAGAAAGAAAGATCATGCATGTAGAATATTATTTAAGGATTTACTAGTGATTCTTTTCTTGCTTATTCATTTGTAGCATTCTCATAATTTCAAATAAACTATAGACATGCGTGTAGTATTGGCATACACTGCTACACAGTGCACGTGTTCTTTGCTTACCATATTTTCTACTGTACATGAGGGAAAGCTGGTAATCTTCAGCTGAGGTCCAAGACTGTCATATCAATATGATATAAAATTTTCATTTTGTTAAGTTATACTCAAGGAATGTAATTATATGAATGTCCTAAAATTTTAATGTGCAGTGATGATTCTAAGAACAGACAAGCTGGTTGAACATGTACTGACAGATGGTTAGTGGGCAAAGATGAATCCACGAATAACCTGACACTGTGATCAGCATTAAAATATCACATTTCAATGCACTGTGAAAATGACTGCAAATAATATTAGCATTGTCTTCTGAAAGAAGGAGATTTCTTTCAGTTGGCACACACTTACTAACATAAACATACCTTAACCCTACTATTTTTTAACTTGTAGAATTCAGTTGAGTATATTGCTAAAAATGGATATTCTGTCATAGCACTAACAATGTTGGAAGTTGAAGAGCAACCAAATTCTGTGCTTCTCAGATTTAATTTATTGCACAATAATTTGAAAGTCAACTGGGTGTTCCCATTTCTGAATATGGAAGTGAAGTTACTTCTGCAGCAAATATGCTGTTGTCAATATTTATTGACCAAGATTTTTCTTCTGTGCAGATCTCTGTTGGAGGTGCTTCTCTCTTGCCCATTTTCATTTACTTCAAATATAAAATCTCTTTTTACAAACATTAGTGTTACTTTTGACATAGAAAAGAGCATATGAAATCTTACACACACATATCATTTTCCTACTACATTTTATAAATAACAGAAGAATTTTTGTAACAAACTTGAACCATTCAAACGTTATTGAATATCTATATTTTAGACATATTAAAATAATAATTCGCTTATGCAACATTCTCTGATTTTCACAATGCAGGAAGACTCCAGTTTTGTGCTCTGATAGCAAGAGGCTCAGAGATAAGTAGAGATGAGTATTCTCTCTACCAGCGAGCTGCTCAGATGTGTGTGGTTCACACTGCCTTCTGTGGATGTTTTTTATCTCCAACTCAGCCTTCGAGGAGACGTAATCAAGCATTAGTTTGACCTTGCATATAGTCATTATGGCAACTTTACTACCACAACACAGGCACCAGCCCTGCCGATATTAACAGGAACTTCCTAGGAAAAAAAAGGAAGAAAACGTTTTTAGTAGACTTGCATGGATAAGACTAGAAGAAATTACTTGCAGATGAAAAGGAAAGCAATGTGTTGATCCAAGCTACTGTACTGATAGTGCAAATACACACTGAACCAGACCTCTGCAAATAGAATTTTTGTTTTCTGGAAAAAAGACTTTTGCAGCTATTGAGAATTACAGGAACGTAGGCTAGTGCTGTTGCTCTTAGCGGTGTTATAAAAGAATTTCATATCTTGTATTCCAGAAACAGGGACTGTGCAGCTACAAAAGGATCTTGAGTTTTCTTTTGATCTTAGTGGTGATGACCTCGGCTCCAAACCAAGCGCTTCCAGCAGATGGCATTACTAAATGTGTGAACATCATTTCATGAGAGAATAGAGAAAAATGATGGGTTTTTTTCATTCAAACTAATTTAAAAAACCTATTTAAGTTATTGTGCAGTGTTACAGGTGATGGACTGCACCAGCTGCCCGTTTTATGCCTTCGTTGCTCAGTTTCCTCGAAGCCTGCCGCGGTTTCTGAAGAGCTGGATGTTGGGCTTGGAGGAGACACGGGCACTTTGCAGCCCCGAGCTCTGGGGTCCCTCACTCAGCCCTTCCCTCCTGTCACTGCACGAAGCCTCTGGCCCCTCATTTGCACATCAGAGCTGCCTGCAGAAGCCTCAAAATGTGACTCCTCCATTACAAACTGATGTGTGCAATTTGATATACTTACCCCTACATAGTCTCCCATCTTTAGTCTGAAAACCTTCTTACAGTTATTAAGTAGGACAGGCAATTTTTATAAATTGGGAACTATGGTGTTACCACATTCCAATATAACGTGTTTGTTTTGGTTCTTTTGGTTTTTTACACACACACGCACGCACGCACACACAAATACTTTTGTTTCCAACATAATTATAATTGCTCTGCCCACTGTTCAGCTAGATTTCTTCTTTTATGTAATTACCTCTGTCCACTCATTATTTTGAGCATCATAGGACTCCACGGTATCCAGGTACGTGTGGCCATCATACCCTCCGACCGCGTATAGGCGGTCCCCCAGAGGGCAAATGCCCACTGCATCACGAGGTACACTTAAGGGTGCCACTGTTGTCCAGGCGTCTGTTTTGGGGTCGTATCTAAAAATAGATAAAACATTATCTAATGTTTTATGATCAAAATGTAAAAAAATTATGTGGAAAGTAGAAACACATTCTAACATTTCAAAATTAAGTAACTTATATTTCTTCTTTTCTGCTGTATTGTAGTTCTGCTTATGCCATGAACTAGTACAGATTAAATATTTTATGTAGCCACTAGAGGGATCTTCAAGCACATTTAAAATGTCCACATTTTGCTTTATGTTTATAGTCTTTGAGTTCTTTCTATCAGATTGTGCGATTGGTACATTTTTGAACATAAATCAAGACTGAGGGAATGATAGTGTGATAGCACTTGAATCTGCAAAGTTAAAGTAAATTCCAGTTTACTCCTTTTTTTCCATAAAGAGACTTTAATTTCTCTTCTGGCCAGAACCAAGGTTTTAAGTCAATTTCACTGCAAAATAACCTAAAGTATCTCATATAGTTGATAAAAGTTTTAAGACAAAATGTGTGGCAAAATGTGTGTTGATTTTACTCCCCTACCATGTGATCAGCCAATTTCCGATATAAATTCCAATGAATTCCACTGCAGTCCTATCTTTACAGCATCTAGCTGCAAGAGCAACTTAGCCACTGTGTTATTCCCAAGCAGGATTTGAATGCTCACCCAGTTTTCCTTTCCTGTGCCCCAAAGTGTGTAAGAGTAGCCCTTGTACCAATATCCATTGGTAAGAAAATACTCAAGTACTCTTTAATTCAGGATTTAGTTTTAAAATGGTGCAAAGTGTTAAAATGACATTTTAAAATGGTCAGATCCTGAGGCTGTCCTGTAAAGGTCTGAAAGATGTCCAGTAACCTGCCAGCTCAAGTGTTGATGGCAACATGAAAAGTGCATTTAGTGTGCCTTTCTAGAAATGGAGTATGCTCCAAACTTGTAGTTTTCACTTCTTTTGCAGAACTCAATTTAAACTCTGTAAATAAATTATCCTATATTTCTTGGAATGTAAAACAAACAAACAAACAAACAAGACACCCCCCATACCCCTTACCTTTCGACACAGTCGGAAAGTCGAGAACAGTGGTTGGAGGCAGGCGCGTCGTGACCTCCCACAGCGTATAAAAACCCGTTGTAGGTTGCAACGCCAACACCCCCTCTTCTCTTGGACATTGAAGCACAAATGCTCCACTTGTTTGTGTGCGGGTCGAAGCACTCCATGGATTTTAAGCAGGAGCTCCCGTCTCGTCCACCAACTGCATACAGCCTGGAATAGTTGCCCATGGGAAAGCAAACAGAATTTCAGTCTTTAGACTCTGTTTTTAATTATATTTTAATCTGATATTTTCTTTTAAAATTGCCATTAATAATTAATTCCCCTTATGAACCATGGAGCTTTTTTTTTCCATGAATTTTACAAAACCTGAATTCATGTTGTATTCCAAGCTATCTCGATGTCACTAGAGTGATATGTAATACAGCATGCAATAGCAGAACTATCATAGACATTCAGTGTGTCAATTTTTCATATGCCTTTCAGATCCTCGCTGTTACTTACTGCTAAGAAATTGAATTTACCTGGTGCAACTAATTACATAGCTTGGGAACAACTCATCTTTTGCAGAGTAAGAAATGGAAAACAGAGCAGAAAGAATGGTCTTGGGAGATGCCTGATTTTCTTAGAGTTTTCTGATCCCTCTGATATATAATTTGACAAGAAAATTCTATACCAGTAAGAGAGTAATGCAAGATTTCTAGCCCTGTCTTTTAATGGTTGTGGATTGGAGATAGACTTGAACTCTGCAGTTTGTTGCTTAGCCCATGCAGAGCATGAGGATTTGTTTTGTTTTCTTTTCTCATCATGCTCTTAGCTACAGTCTACTTGTTTACACAGCTTTCAGGGAGAGAGGAAATAGCTGAATATGTGAAGAGATCGGTTGGTGTTTTTTCTTTTCCACAACGTATCTAGAAACATGACAGTCATCTAAAAAAAAAAATCTTTTTCCATCCTCCAAAGAAAAGAACAAATACAGCCTTATTGACAGATGTTTTCATGAGACATTTAATTGTTCAAAGAGTTTTGCTTTTATTAAAATTCAAAGTATTTTCCGGTGGTGTGGAATAACTAGCAATTTTAATTTCAACAGTGCTACTATAAAAAACATGGTGTGACTTAAGGAAATGGGAAAAGTTGAAGCATTCACCTAGGGTACCCAGAGCCATAATACTACATGAAGGACATTAGTTCTCATCTTCCCTCATTGCACTAGGGCTTGCATCACATAACTAACAGAAGTGACTTCAGTCAGGTTGGAGACACCCTGGATCAGGCTGAGAACAGAGCGAGGATCAGGCTGGATTTCCTCTTTGACCAAGCCATTTTCTGCATCTAACTGGAAGGCACCAGCAGGACGCTCCCGTGAAGGTTGTGCTGAGAACATTTCCTCCGAGATACAGAGCAGAGTTGAACACACAGCTCTCCTTTCCCCTAACTTCAAACTTACTGATCAGGATCATGTGATGCTTGACTGCAGTATTCTCATTCCTCCATGAGGAATTTCTGAATCTGCAAGTATCTGTTTGTTGATGTTTTCATTACTGCACCATATCCTCCTCTTTTGTAACTCCCTGGCATTTAAGAAGTGCACGGGGAAGCCTGTGATACGGTTTCAGGCCAGATGCAGCCCTCTGCCTACAGCCATCTGTATCCTTCTCAGCTCCTACAAATTGTCACTGCCAAGAGGCTTCTGCAGAGTTAGATAAGGAGGCAGCTTGGCTCAGGCCGTGACTCCTGCTAATAACCTGTGTCATTTTACCAGGCTCTTGTATTCTCTGGACTAGAAGTTCTTGCTGAACAAGGGGAACAGAATTTCATTAAGCATTAATTTATGACTTTCTTTTCTTCGTGCTGAAATGGGAACATGAAATAAGGTGTAACGCACCTCATTTTACAGGTACGACACAGATTGCGCATTAGACTTGTACATCTTTCTGTTCCCATGAAATGACGTTGGGTGGCTTCAGTAAATTTTTAAAATCTCGTCTAGAGAACAACTCACAGTATACAATGACCACATGATCTCAGTTTATTCAAGAGCTAGATGAGGGGTAGAATAAAACTTGGAGAAGCCTGTTTATTCCATGCCTGGTTACTAAATTTCCCTTCCTTTGATTGAACATACAATATATATCTTCTGACTTTAAAAAAATATTTTTGACTGTGAACTTGTCAAGGTTGTAGATGCATGCAGAGAGTATAAAATGACAGAAGAATCACTTTATTTTTGTAGAAGTTATTTCAAATTGTGTTTCCTCAGGCATATAAGTATGCGAAGTAAATTTAGAGCACTGGTTAAAAAGAAGTTGATGAAAATCCCCATGAGCTATATTTCTTGTAAAATTCTGATATGCATGTTAGAATATTTCTGACTTGCTAAAACTTTGGAGAGATGAAATATGTTTAAAATATGGTGGCAAATTTGAAACAATTTACTGCACTCCTGCAGTAAAAGCTTTCTTTTTCTTCTTTTTGCATATGGCAACTTCTGTTTGTTTTCTTGAGATGGTTAGTAACTCTATGATTGAAAAGAATATTTTAAGAAGTGTATTGCTACCTAAGCAAACACAAGAACACAAGGAAGCAAATGAAAAGCAAGAGAGTTTTTATCTTTCCACATACTTGCTATTTAATGCTGCAACCCCTACAGTGCTTCTTGGAGTTGACATGCTAGCAACGTAATTCCACTGCCGTGCTTGGGGATCCCATCTTTCTACTGTATTAAGATAACTCCATCCGTCATGACCACCAACCGCGTACATTGGTCCTTCAAGCATTGCTACTCCTTAAAAGACAGAATTACAAATTACAGCATCTAATAATTTCCATGACTGATAAAGTATTAACTTCATGTTTTAATTCCCTCTGCACAGATAAGCAATTTCAGCTGGTATTAAAGTATCTAATAGCTGCCTTGTCATTGAGCAGAATAAACAGGCATACACAAAATACTTCATAAACAATATTTTTCTGACTAAGAATTATCTTTTGCCAAAAGATAGAGGAAAGCTGCTTTATTCCTGATGTTCTCATTTGGGGTTTTTATCTATCTCGCTTCTACTGACTGTTCTGAATCAAATTTAAGCCCATACGTGTGAATCAATGCAATTCTTTTTTAAAAAAAAGGCAAAGTTTGAGGAAGGCGATGAAAATATTTGTCCAAAGTAATTTCCTAATCCTGTGCTCTGATCTAGCTGAATCTCTGTAGCCACTCCAGCATGAAGCTTAAGATGAGTGGGTTGCTGTCCTTATTTGTAAAAGAGCCATAACATTTTAATAACTGTAAGCGGAGCACACTAGGGTAAGAGCTGACTTGTATCTGTTCCTGTGCCTCCTGTTTTGTGAGCCCTGGTGCCTACTTGCTTTGTCCATAAAGCAAAATGTTTGAATCTGGCTGCTTAAAAGTTTTCTAAATCCAGCCTCTCAGGTGTAAATAGCCAGATTTTTCCAGAAGTGCTAATTCCCCTTCAAACTCACAGTGAACCTAGTAGGAACTGTAGGTGTAAGGCAGTTGTGCAAATCAGGTTGATGCACAGAAGCCAGTCTGGGGCCTTCAAATTGTGAGGTGCTTTTTGGGTAGAATTCTAACTTTGCAACCGGTAGTCTTACAGACTTAGATACAAATTATATATTTTTTAATTCTTTTCTTTTACTGCTTCTGCATTGTTTTTGGGAATTTGACAGACTATAAGGTAAAAACTCTACACTGTTCTTTTTAAATAAGACAAAGTAGTGCAAAAGGTAATAGGCCACAAACTAAGGTTCCATGTCCTTTGAGCTTGAAAATGATTTCATTTAATAGCTATTTCTATAAGCATAAAAAAGTCAGCATTTTTCATAACAATTATACTGTATAAATCATTCAGATATTGTTTTAATACCCCTTACATGGTTCCCAAATTTAAACCTTTCCTCCTTTTTTATACTTCCAATTAGAAACTCTCAATTGCATATTATTCATCCACCATGAATAATATTGGTTATAGGGCAGATTATAGAGCCATAGACAAGAAGTTATAGCAGAACTCTGTAAAACTACTTGTAATTACATCATTAAATCTAGTGAAGATGTATTTATTCCCTTATAGCAATCTTCAGTGTCAGTTATTTTATGAACTGATTGTCAGATATGTATCAAAAAAAATCTTTTTCAAAAATCAAGCTGTTGACCAAGCTCTTCTTGTCTTGCAAACATATCTCTTTACCAGCAAATATGATTTAGAGTGGATTATTTTCTCTGTTGCTTGTATTTTGCACCTCTCTAACAGCAAAATAAGCTCTGGAAAGCTGTACTAGTTATGTGTTTATTAATAAATGCTAACTTTCTCTTGGAAAATATTTCTACAGGTACTGTTGTATGGTTTTAAATGCTTTAAGAATGTAATGTCAGCATTTATCTTATGCTTTAAGAAATTAATGTCAGGGTTTGTGTCCATCAAAATGAACCTGTACATGATACAAAGTATTTTCAAAGGTGGAAGTACCTCTTACCTAGGCCGTGTCTGTGCGTTGACATAGGCGGCATTATAGTCCAAACTTTGGTGATAGGGTTGAAACATTCAACAATATTAGAAGTTTTCAGACCATCTCTGCCTCCCACAATATAGAGTTTGTTATCAATTACTGCAACTCCAAACTGTAGTCGTCTACCGTTCATCGTGCCAATTTGTACCCAACTATTAGTCCTAAGGTCGTATTTCTCAATAGTAGTGGTGCCTGTTAAAATACAATTATTATCAAAGCTTAAACAAAATGAGGTAGCTGTGAACTGAGCCGTGTTTAGCAGTCAGTCAGTTTGCCCATTACTAAATGGGCATTACTAAACTCTGCAAGGAAATTCTGTATATAGGCTTTTATTGCTGCTTGTTGAGAAGTTCAGTTATGAAGTGACTCTAATGAGAAAGCTGCAGTAATTTCATGTATATATGATTGCCAAACACATGAGAATAAGCTGATAGCAAGAATATGCATATTTAGATGGCAACACATTTTTTAAATTAAATCTTTTCTTTCTCTCTTTCTCTCTTTCTTTATGAATACAGTTCATCACAGTTATGTATTTAACCATGCTTGTGCTTAAACCATTAGCACTATAAAAAATTAAACAGGTAGCAATATATCTGCCTATCTTAGGACCTGGGCTGCATAATCATGGATGCTTTGGATGTTTTCCTTTATACGCTGGAGACAGGGAGAAGGCTGAGTTGGATGCATGTGTAGGCTTGCTTCCCACAGGCAGCCTCCCCGAGGTTTATCTATGCAGAGCCCTTGCAATAGCTCTTTTCCTACTGCAGTATATAAGTATATAAGCTGTACTTTCAATTTTTTTCATGTCTCTGAGCTTTTAGTAGTGTTTTTGTATAACTATCCATATGGTTCCTGCCGTAACTCCCTGCCATTCAAAACCAGTGTTTTTCTAGGCATGGGCTCCTGTCGCTCAGCAGCAGCAATTGCTCCTGCGAGAGGTGCCTGAGCCCCGTGGGGAGGTGGCTGGAGGCAACCCCGAGGCAGGAGACAACGGCCCCGACGCGTCCAGTGCACCCTGTAGCGCGGCTTCCGCTCGCGTGAAGGCACCCAGGGGAGAACAACAGAGCTCGTTCCCTGCCTGCTCCTGAACTGGGATTCAAGAATAGAGAAGTAGCTTTTTGAGTGATGCAAAAGGCAGTTAGTGAGTAAAGAATCGTCCACAGCAGCAAAACACGCATGGAGTGAAACAGAAAAGAAAGGTAGCGTTTGCTCTGGAGACATTTTCCCAAGAAATAGATAAATTGCTATACTTCATACTCTTAGTGAAATAAGGACTTATGATTCCTTATTTTTGGTTTCTGATCCACATGCCTTTCTAAACGCATTGACTGGGAACAAGAATACTTGATTCACCAACAGAACAAGGAAGAAATTCTACTTTTTCTTCCCTTTCTTGTCATCTTTTATTCTGAGCAGCTGGGTTTCTTTTGCTGTTCTTTCTACGTGGTTAATCTGTTTGTTATTCTTTGCTTTGATTCCTCTCATTTATTTTATGCTAGCGTATGAGTTTTTCAAAATTCTCAGCTTCAAAAGAATTATCTCATGCACTAACTGAAGAATAGGAAAAATACGTTAAGCCATATAGTGTGCTCATACCCTGTAGGCTCTAATTTTACAGGGGCTTGGAAGTAGGTTTTTAAAGTTAATGTGCTTTAGGGACATGCACATTTTTCAAAACACTACAGCAGAAGTGGTTCTTTGATCTTCGTTTGATCATTCTAACTGGAGATTTGACTTCATGTACCACCTGAGATAAGCCCAAAACCCAGCCTGAGAACTTGAGTTTTCTTTATCAGGTGAGCCCTGTAAAGCACAGGATTGCCAGCGGTGGTAGTTACTCCCTTCACAGGTCTGTTCTTCACAGCCTCATGGTTTCTTAGGCCTTATCTTCCAGCCCAGCACAGGCCCAAGGTTGAGTCAGAGATGTAGCAGGATGAGTCAGAGATGCAGCGGGACAGCAGGAAGCAGAGGAAGTGCTGTTCTTCTTAACCATCAAAAGGCAAAAGTTCAAACAATTGGCTTTTTTCCAAAGTAATAAGTAAAAGAGGCACCAAGAGGAAGCCCAGATGCTCACTGAAAGAGGCCTTTCTCTGTATAACCTTTACTAAGAAAATAAACTGGAAATTTTATTATTATTTTTATAATACTTATAGTAAACTATTTGTTCTTGGCCATTTTATATAATTTATGAAAAATTAATTTTGCTAATGAAACTACAGTAATTGCTACAGATGAATTTGTGGAACTGCCCTGGGGATGAGACTGTGTTTTCCCTTCATATTGTTGTGGTGGTGAATGTCTGTTTTGCATTTGATTTGATTACTTAGGCAAAGAAAGGTAGCAGTTTCTCCTATTGCAAACATCAGCAACATTTTGCAAAACATGAAATGGATTAACTTCTTGGTGATTTTATGAAGAGTGAACTCATAGAGCTAAGGTGTAGTACAGTTCGACAAGTCACCAGACTTTAAAATATTTAGTTATTTGTATTGCACTAGGCTGTGGAATTGAGCTTAACATAGAAAATAGGCTAACATCTTGCTTGCTGAATAGAATAGTGTAATTAGTAAAGTTGTTGTTTGGGTGTCTGTTTCTCTTTTTATAGGCTTATAAATTGTAAAAATGCTATCAAAAATATGTTCATAGTAAATTACTACAGAATCCAAAATATTGAAAAGTGCTTTGGGGCATTTCACTTATTTTGTTGGTCTGCATGTTGTGAAAATCAAATCATAAAAATTACTATGCTTTTATAACTTTCAACTACATGTCATGTAAGATCTTTCCAATTAAACATTATGTGAAGGATTGAGAAGCTTTAGCTAAGACTTTTTAAAGTTTATTAATGCTTTTTTTTGGTTTTATTTCCTTCTTCAAAAATGTTTCTGCCTTTTAGCGCTTGCAAAAATGGGGCACGGGATTCTGGAATCGTGTGATTGTAGAAGTGAAAGTGTCTTTAGATATTTCAAGTGTTTTTTTTTTTTCCTTCTGATTTGTACAGTTGAACTGAACAGGTTTCTGTAACACAATCAACTTTCCAGACTCACCTTTAGTGGCATCCATACCTCCTACAGCATAAAGTGCCCCCACTGTTGATTTTCTGGGCTTAGTTCGAGGACTCTGCATCATGGAGCGTCTCTCTGGTAGGAGGTGGTACTTCATAGCCTCCATAAGAAGCTTCTGACATTCTAGGTCATCTGCAAACATTGGACTGTTTTCCAGGTCAGCTAGTAACTAAAAAATGAGAAATATCTTATTGATTTTTACATCTTTAAAATTTTTTAAATGCACTCTAGTAAATAAGGCATTTGTAGCTCCAAACATTTATTTTCAGTTCACTTCCTTAGTTTTTCTCTAGGTTTTATTTTAGTGCAAGTGAAACAACATAAAGGTAAGAAAAAAAGTCTTTAAAAATTATCTCTTCACTTTATCTCTTTTTCTGAAAAGAGATAGTATTGCTCTTTTTGAAATTGAATGCAAATCTCCCTTTGACATAAAAAGAAATAATACCTGATACTGGACATCTCTACTAATACCAGAATATAAAGCACGTGTTTAAAATGAAATGTGTCCAACATTTTTATACTTAACCCATAGTTATAAATGTGATGCTTCATTCATAGTACCCTAGTACAATGTTGCTCTTAGCATAAGCTTTTCAGATGAGATACACAGATCTTGTATGACACGGATATGACAATATAAAACTACTGTAAAATCGTATAACTGTCTCTGGAAAGATCTGTATCTGATGATGTATTAAAGGATATGTGATGCCAATAGTCAAAACAGGAATAATCTAGGTAATGTTGTTCTTGTCTACTTACATTGTGCCTCATACATCCTGAATTTCATGTATAATAAGCATATTTATTAGTTTACAATATGATTTTTTAAAAGCTCCCAACCAGAACATTTGTAAAGAGATATATTCTCTATTTATAGAGAATAGAGTTCTCTGTATATAGAATTCTGTATGTATAGGGTGCTTGAGGCAGTGCAGCAGTTCCCTGTTAGCCCTTCCCCTTCATACCTGGGGTGGAAGCAGAGGCAGTCGAATGTAAGAGAGTAGCATGCCCAGGTCTCGCTGCCTGTTTTGCAGGTCGTGCCTCACCCACATCATCAGCGCCTGGAAAATGGCTTCTTCATCAGGAACGTTGATGTCATCACTAGACAGGAGCTTTGCGATTTCATTAGCAGGAAGTAAAAGAAATTCCTGGTTTTTTATTACTTCTGTGAAGTGTTCCTAGAAAGAAAAAGGTTTCAATACACTTATGATTTTCACACCTTGAAATATCATTTTCTTAGACAACATGGGCCTTTCTGCAGTTCTGTTCCATTCAAGAGGACAGAGAACAGTCATACCTATTCTAACGATTACTGTATATAATCCAACTGCCTTCTTTCATTTGTTCAAGCATAAACCTGAAAGGCTTAGTTTGTAAAGAAAAACTATTAAAGGAGAAAAAACATATTAGTGGAAAATACAAATGAGTTTCACATGGCATATCATGCAGAGCATTTCTGAGATTGTCCATCAACCTTTCTTATCTGGCGTACAGAGACAGTGTAGAGTTAGGCACCAGAAGTAGTTCACTCTTCTTCAAAAATAGTCCATGTTTTTTAATGGAAGAATTCCTTTTATTTAAACTCTTACTCATTGATGCCAAGGACTTGCATCATCAGAGAATGTCTGCAGTGCAGAGTGGGCCCATACGTGTTTCCTGGGAAACGGGTAGGAGCTGTTTGCCTGGCTGAACATACGGAACGTCGGGCTTCTGCTTAGTGCCAGATTTTGATATCTGAAGCAGCAGCAGAGTGGCTTTACTCCTAGACTCTCCTTCCAAGTGACAGCTCCTCAGCTCCTTCCCAAGCTCTCACTTTTCTGTGAGTGTGAATACCACAGGAGCCCACTAGGGGATCACATGTGGGAGTTCTTTCCTATTTTAAGGGAGGAGAGCTTTTAAGAAAATTACAAATATTTAAACTGCTCTGTCAAACATCTTTTAAGTGACAAACATGAACATTTGGATTATCCTAAAACCTCATGGGAGTCATTTTTCTCTGCCAGTACTAAGGAAAAGTGTTGCAGTGATTCGGCCTTGATGCATAACCACGGAGCACAGGAAATAACATAGTCATTTGTGTAGTCAATATTTTCAGGGTAGTGCATTCAAGAACAGATATGGAAAGTTTCAGAGGGAAAAGAGAGAAAGGAAGAAGAAAAAAAAGCATCCCTTGATTTGCAGAAATCTAAGACCTTCTGATAACTCTAGTATCTGCAGGCAGGATTCAGGAATGAAAATGGTATGTGTTTGTGTTTTCCAAGAAATGTTTTGGAACATTTTTGTTTCAAAGTAAAATTACAACGGATTTTTGTACTTTCCCAATCTGTAAATAAAATTACTAATAAGGTGGATTAAAATCATGCTGATTAGTAAGAGAGGCTACAAGTAAAGCAGTAATGGTGAATTTACTGTTCACCATCAGAGCTTTTAAAAGGTTATTGTACACTGCCTGCTTAGTAAATGCTTGCAGCTTAGGACAATTAGCTACAATTATTTCCTGTTTTTGTGACTACTGAATGCAGAAAATGAACTATTTGTCCTTGCCTAATTCATTCAAGTTAGTGTATTTGCTGTTAATAATAGCGGCTTTCGCTTATTAATTAAGGATTGAACATTTCATATGACTGATTTACAGTCTGCCCATAAAACTTATAAAATAAAAATCTCCATTGCACACAACGATCATCATCTCAAGTAGATTTACTTGCAGATATACTGTGTCTCAGGGATTTCCCACTAGCAATTTTATCCATCAGCATGATCTTAAGACTCCAGCATAAGACAAATGCAATTTGCAGATGTAAAGTATATCCTAAGAATGTCCTAAGTGGACATTCAAATGAGCTGCATAAATTGTGTTGTGATCAGATTCCACAGTCTGAAATAAATTAGATGCAAACCCAGGAATTCTTTTGCAGTAATTATGCCAGCTATTGACTACACGTCTCCACGATGAGTAGCAGAAAATATAGCAAGGGAAATTAATTTCACTTTTCTAACAGTATCGCTAACATTATTTTTTGGCTATATTAAGGTATGCTTCCTTGCGGTAAAAATTCAAAAGGAAAGACAAATCATTAACAAAGCTGTTTTCCTGATATATTTGCAAAGATGTTTTCAGGGATGTCTGAAGTATTAATTTCCATGTACATCCCTGAAAGTGATATATTTTACGTGAAAACCAGATTGAAACAGGGCAGATGAAAACATTCTAGTAACTGATATTTGTATTGCTTGTTTTCAGCTGCCTCTTAACTTTCTGTGACTCTTTTCAAGAGTAAATATGGAAGTGATTGAAGGAGATGTTAAATTTGCTCTGTAATGTACATCCTGCTTTAATATTTTCTGACATCCAAAGAATAGGAACAGGAAAGCCAATCCACATTTAGTTACAAACACAGTTCAAGATGTTTATCAGAACAGGCTTTATCTGCATGAAAAGACACTAGGCAGGAAACTGTTGATAGGTTGCATCAATGACTAAAGTAATTGAATGGGAAGGTCCCAGAGTGTTTGTTTTTATTGAATAGATGTGTTGTTTGTAGTTGATTATCTTCTAAAAATGTTTAAATGACTAGTTCATTTGTATGGTCTCTGTATTTACAATATGACTTTGTAGTTGTTCCCCTAAGGTGCACATTTTCAAGGGGTTGAGCTTGACATGAAACAAAGCAGAGTGTTTTATTTATCCTCTTCCACAGCACACGTGTGTGTATGCATTGCATTGTTATCATCTCTTATTCTCTAACGTCTTTTGAAAAATCAGTTCAGGAATTTAAAAGAATTTGCTTTAAAGATATTTCAAAGAGGTATGGATTTCCTTTTCTGTGTCTAAGTTGTCAGTAGTTGAAAATTTGGTGGACAGTTTTATGCCATGCAAGCTCCTGCTCTTTCATTGCATCATCATCACTGCATTGCATGTGAGATACAGGAGTTGGTTCCAGTGCTGGAAGTGCTCCTACTTGTGTTCAGAAAGGCTAGTTTGGTTTTAAAGGTCCAATTGGCACCTATATTGGACACATAGATATGGCTTTCATTTAAAAAACAGTCAAAATCCAGCTCTTGGGGAAGAAGGGTGGAGAATTCAAATGGCTAAGAAATCTAGGCGGAGAAGTCCCTCCATTGTTTAATGTCCATAATCCCATTATTTTCTCTGTTTTGTGGAAGTCTGAACTGGGAATTTTAGAGCACGGTTAAAGCTGATGTCTGAGTGTTTGGACTGAAGGCACTGGGAGGAAAGAGACCCTGTGAGGGAGAGCTCCTGTTCCCGGCTCAGAGTGTGCGGTGTACGGAGCAGCAAGGCTGTGACGCTACGCAAAGCCTGAGGGAACCTCTGTCGTAAAGGCCTCTTGGCAGCCTCTCAAATCTAAAAGGCACCTAGGCTGCTGCTAAACATCCCTGTGTTCGTAAGAGAGGGGGGAGCACGGCCAGCGGCCTCGCCTTGCACGCGCCGCTCACGTAGGCCTCAGCGTGTGGCAGTGCCCGGGCTGTGCTGCACTGCTCGCGGCATTACGAAGCCTTTGAACTGCGTCTGACATCCTGCACCTGGATCTCCAGCCTAAAGCTGCCGTGTGTCTCCTCACAAGAGGCGTTTTTTGTATCTATTTAGCTGCAGCAATTGCTATTCTCTTTGTGTTTGAGGTTGTTATAGCATATCTTGTTGCCCTGAATATTTATCCCCTGTGCTGGTTTTGCAGCAGGCTATCTTGCTTCTCTGTTTCCCACACTCTGAATGTTCAATGCTTGCTTTCAGCCAAAGCAGGATTACGCTCAAGTCAGAGATGTGCTGCTTCTCTGTATTTCAAATCTTTTCTACATGTTCCTTATTTTGGCTGTTTCTTTTGTGCACCCTGCCTTAAAATGAAATTTAGATTTTTCTTTGTGTTGAATCAGAGCAAGAGTGTGTCCTTGATGGTTTTTTTATTACTTTAGCCAGTTAAAGGCCTTATTACATTTATTGAAAGAAATGTGTACAGATCATACTGCATATCTAAGTCGCATACTTATCCCCTTCTACAAGACAAAATTTCAAAAGAGCAAAAACTAGAACTGAATATTTGGTTTTCTAGGGTGCTTTTCTCCGCTTCCAGCATGTTAGTTTCAGTCACAGTTCTTCAGTTTCCCCTTGGATTATGAACTGGGCACATATGGCCCAGGGACAGGGATTGTGCAGATCCCAGGCATGCGGCAACCACAGCCAAGGTATCAGCGTGCGGAGCGCAGCCCAGCTCTGCTGACTCGGCTCCACCAAACATTATAATTTCAAAGCAGTTTGATTATTTATCTTACCATCGTATATGTATGTGCCACCTTCAGGAGCTCTGTGCAGCCCTGAGCATCTCCAAAAGAGCGAATCCCGAGGCAGTTGGAAGGATGGAGCTGCTTCATCAGGAAGTTACAACATACCTCAATGACCTGAGATAGCTGGAGAAGACAAGCTGCAGCTAACAAACTTTCTATAGTGTCTTCCTTTAACTCAAGAATACCTATATAGTTTGTACAGGGAAAAAAATAGGGAGAAGTTTTCAGTCGTTATCTTATTTACTCAAAATACTGAAAAAAAAAAAAGAAAATAATGTTCCTGTGCTTAAGAAATTCATTTCACTTTTTTCATGAAGGATTCTTTAAATGGATTTTTTTTAAACAGGCTTACATGTTTGTTAGATTTTGAATATAACAATTGGAACATTTTTATTGGAACTCAAATACCAATAGATCTGATTTTACTTAGAAAAGTGAAATAAGGAGCAAGATATGATTAGGTGAAAACCTTCACAAAAATCATATATCAATTTCACAATTATATAGAAACTTCAGTAACAAAATCAAGGAAATGCCAGCTGCAAGTGAATACCAAGAAACCTGTTTTCTTCCACCCTCTCTTCTTGTACATCTAAGTTTTTAATTAAATGATTACAAGATGTGAGAACTTCATAATGTCCTTCGAGTAGACAACAAAGTGCTCATTTAATGAGATCTTCCATCTTAGTCATCTTGCGTATAGCTTAATTCTCCAGTTGATACACAGCATTAAAATGTTGTTTTGAAAAAATATATATATATTTTTTGTAATGAACACATTTCAGAAGTTCCCTGGGTAGGAATCCAGTTGCCTCAGAAGCACTCAGTTGGTTTCCAGCTGCCTCTGTGAACAGATGATATATGCCAAACCCAACTAACAAATGGACAATTGTGATATTGAGAGATTACAGTCAAAATTATCACCAGAGTAGCACTCTAAGAGGTTTCTTGTCCAACGTTCACTCTTGCCTTGTTTCCTTGGAATATATAAACAATTCTCAAAGTTATAGCTCTTATAGCTCTTCAGGAAGTCACATTTATATTTCGTTACACAGAAAACAGTAGCACCCACTTAAGGGGCTTAGTTACCATCACACAAAAACCAATGATGGAGATGGTGGGAAAATTCATATTTTTGGAGTTCAGCAGTCTTAACTCAGAATGATTTCATTTTCTTCATACCTTATATAAGCACCCTGAAAGAGTAGAAATTTCTTCAAGCAGGCTGCTTTTGACTTACGTGCAAATAATGAGTAGCCCGCCATGACCCAGCTTCTTTGTGCTTCTATAATCCATTTCCTCGGGTAAAATATGCAAATTCAGTGCCATAATATCACCGTTTTATGGATGTTATGTTTATCCCCTCATTCCTTGTGATTATGCTCTTGTTTGTACCCAAAAACATAAAAGGAGTCTATTTTGTGTGTGGGACTTCTGTTTCAAATCTGATTTTCAGATTGCATGTCTTTCTGTAGATTTATCTCTATGCAGAAAGCTAGATTTTTTAAATGTCTTAGAAAGTGAAGGAATCTTCTATGTTTGATGTTTTTGCTAATACCAATATCGTAAATATATTGAGTCTCTGACTTTCTTTGACATTTTGTTTTTTTTTTAAATCACTATAGGACATACATAGATACTTAAGATACTTCTTCCAACTCTCTGCCTCCTTATGGATTTTGTGAAAAGTTATTTCATTCAAAAGCAAGCAAGCAAGCAAGCAATGCCCTCCATGGGACATCAAATGGTCAAGGAACTAGGGAATGTTATTGGTGTTAGACATTAACTGAGCAGGTGGATCAGTTTACCTGGCAAACTTTCATAAATTCAGAAAGTTGTTGTTCTGGTTGGTTAGGAGTTGTTACATTCTGGACGAGTAATTCTCTGCCTTTGAGATGTGGGCATTTTTATTGCAGAACTACATAGTTTAGTGGAGGGGAAGGGAGTTTCTCTTTCACTTTCCTGGCTGGAGTAGCTGCCATCTGTATCGAATGACTTGCCAGATACCAGAATCTGTAGGCTTTCAGAATCTGCATAGGTTTGAATGATCTGGGTATTTTTAATTGCAATATATGCTAACGTAACAGCTATGTCCTGCAGCATTTGTGTCTTCTCATAATAGGGCAGCTCAAAGGCATTTTGGAGTTCTCTTATTTGGTTTTTTTGTCTATTGGTTCAAGCGTTAAGCCATCTAGTAAGCACAGGGGCGTATTTTGAAAATGGATGAAATCAGTGGAAAAATTTGGGGAAGTATTTTTAAAGAGAAGTAAGTAAATACTTCTAAAATGTAGTGGCACTTTCTAATCATAGAAGTTGTTCTATTCATAGGTGTGATAACATTCCTGCCACACAGCCAAACCATTACTATGGCTGTTCTTGACAGGAAGGCTCATACCCTTCTCTCTTTGATTACACAAGGTGAACAACCAGCAAAATATCTTCTTCTCTCATTAAAATTGCTAAAATAACTTTTATCTAGCTAGAGAAAGAAGATGGCCTAATAATGGATTTACATGTTTCTGTATATCTTCTACAATAAGATATTGGAGCATCAGCTATCTATTATTATCTCTTCAAAATAATGATTATTTTATCAGAACAATAGTATTTGTATTTATGCATCTTTTTTAGAGAAAGGTATACATTAAATATGCGTGATCTATGCTGATATTTATGAAATGTATGAAATGAAAGAAGTGAAAATAATAGTTTATTAGAAATAATAGAAACATTTCTAATAATAGAAAATAGGTTTTCTCTTCTTTTACAGAAGTGCTGTAGGTGAGGGAGGAGGAATTACCTGTGTATGCATAGCGCACCAAAGCCTTCAGCGCATCCGGGTCTACACCCTCCATTTTGATCTCCTCTTGTTTTGCTTCCCGCACGTCGTTAGTAAACATTGCAGCAAAATAATCAGACACTGCACTGAGAACCAGCCTTGAAATAGAAGCATTTTAGGAGGAATCTAAATTACTTCATAATCACAATAGCAAGCATGAAATTCAGTATCATTATATAATAAATTGTGTGTGTAATAGAAACACCTTCAGTATAGGACTTGAATCTTACAGTAGTGACTAATAAAGTTAACAGAGTAATCAGTATTCTCATCTTTGCTGTGCTTGTTTGTGCAGTTTTGGTCCACTGCTGTCTACAGTTTGACAGCAAGAGGACAGGCAATACCTTTGGCTCATATTTCAGTTTCTTTCTACCTGAAATAGGGAACATGAAACTCTGATCACATTATTTTAGTCTGTTAATTGATGTGCTAATTACAGTAACCATTCATTCATAACCAGACAGGACAAGCATAAATTATCACAGCATTTGGAAATTTCAGCCTTTGAAGCTTGTAGACAGGAATGGGAAATGTACCTGTGAGCGGGAATCTTTTGGTCTCCGGCGATGAGGAGAACATCACACAGCTGTTTCTGCTGCAGATAACTCTCCATCTTGCGGAACGTTTGCTCCGCGTGGTTTGTAGATTGGAAATATTCATCCGAGCCATTGGTGTTCATTCCAAGCAGTGAACTGCTCGTGGTTGATAACCTGCAAGGCGAAGAGGCTGCGTAATTACTGCAGTATTATAAATTCTGATTATGCTTGTTATATAATTTTTGTTCAAGTGAAATAACAGAAATCTTTAAAAATATCTAGCTTTTATAATCCTGGCCTTACTAAGCCTTTTTCAGTTAGTTTCTGTTTTATCTGCATGTTTTCCTTCACCAGGTTGCATGCAAGTTCTAATGTCAGTAAAGAAACAAACAAAAAATGTTATACAGAGCTGGCTTTACTGAGGTTTCTACTTCCTATCAGTGTTTTTTTTTAATCGGAAGCATCTTGTATAAAATTTTGGATGCAACATGTCTGTCGGTCTTATTTATATTTCTATTTTTCTTCATAGTTTTGGACTGTGCATTACTTTGTACATTGAACTGCATTACTAAGTAGGAATGAATTAGAAGACAGTCTAGCGAGGGCCATGTCCTTCAGACGGATTACCAAACCAAAAAGCTGATGAAATCAGTCTATTATATTGCCTTCACAAACTAAATGTGAATAATAAAGACAAACTGATATTTATTTATATTGATATTTAGTAAGGTATCCCTCCCCATTGCAAGCACATTATTGTACAACAGTGCTTTTCTAAATAGTACAGAACAATATCAGGGTTGATGTGACTTTTGTACATCTGAGATTTTCCAGACATCTTTTCTTTTTTTTTTCCCTGAAAATCTTCTGATCCCAATGAAGGTCTTTGGGTTTTTGTGCTGGGTTTCCTTCAGAAGCAGAGTACAGAGCACTCCTGTGGGGCTGGCTCTGCCAGACTCCCAGGATGTGTAAGATGATTTATGGCCCGCACAGACCTCAGTTCTGCTAGCACTGAGGATCGTCAGCCCCGCAGGGAGGTGCGTGTCCCCGTCACCTGAGGAACACGAGTCCAGCTGCCTGCAGCGTCCCGGACCCTCACGCTCACTGTGCGTGTACAGCATGTGCACAGGTGTTTCTGTCTGGATTATTTCAAACAGCTATTATCTAAAAATAGGTTAAGATATTCCAAAATCAGTGCAATAAAATCTCTAGCTTTCTTTGAACCTCTTTATTCAATTTTAAAGACGTTTTCTTTTTTAAAGAAATGAAGGGGCAAAGAAAGTGCACCTAGTAGCAAAGTAGTCTTTGCAATTTACAGCTTGCAAAAATTAATTTGTCTCAGTGAATTTAATGACTATATTTTTTGTTTGTTTTCCTTCAATGGTCTCCATTGAATATGGAAACTGCAAAATTGGATTATATGCTCATTAGTTTTGCATCAGCTACTTGATACGAAATTCATAGTCCGTAACATTCATATTTTGTAATTTCCCTCTTAGACTTTCTTTCACATTTTCAGAAAATGAATTTTAAAAACTTTAAAACTTGGGAATATATAGAACAATGTCTTGCATACCTACTTCTATAGTTTATCTTTCTGTATCCCAGATAATGTTTAATCATATAAAACTCCAAATCTGTCTACTTCCACTTTATCCTCCCACCATTGTTTTCCCTCACTTTTCTGTTACATTAATAGAAACCATAGAATATTGTGGATTATTTTTTCAAAAACATCTTGTGCCAGATCTGTTGCATCAAGTTTTAGGTATCATTAAATAGTATGTACATTTTTACATTGCACTTGATCCTGGTAGAAACCAACCAAGATGTAACTCAGTCATCCCTATTGCAAAGGCAGAGAAACAATTTCTTGAAATAAATAATTATTCTTCAAATAGCAGGAAAAAATAAGTGAACTATAGATGATAGAGGTTAAATTATATTGCAAAAAGGAGCTAGTAAAAATAATGATGAGTTTGGTGCTGAATGGCTGAAATATAATAGAGGATCTTGTGGGCTGTAGTACAAAGATAGGTAAGGAGTTGCAAAGGTACGACTTGAATATGTCCATCCTTATATATTGTTCTATGGGATATGATTTAACGTGTTCTGAACTCACATTAGTTCACTGAGTTGTACTCGAAAAGAAACAAGGATACAAGATGGAGAATTATTTCTTTCATTAATCAAACAAAATCTGAAGAATATTGAATAATAAGAGTTTCTGAAGTACGTTGGTCCTGTGAAGAGCCAAGACATCGTTTTCTACTCAGTGACAAGGGAAAATCGGATCCCCAAGCTGCTCAGTGTCACCTTTATATTAGGGTTCATTCACTAGGGTGTTGAGTGAATGTTGGTATGGTCTAGTAATACTGATACCTCTGGCTTGAGGACCAGATTAGGCTAGAGAGAACAGAGAGAAATCTCTACTTCAGTGATTTCAAGGTGGCTAAAATAGGTGACCTTCATCCTAGGTGGAGAACTGAAAAGAATTTCAGAGTTATCCCACAAAAATATAGGAAAGATGGTGAAAATATAGCACCCAATTTTTAAAAGTAAAAAGAACAGCAAAATATGAAGCAAACAAACTGAAAAAATATTTGAACAAATAATCAAAAAATGTTAAGCATCTTGATGATAACAAGCAGAAAAATACCGGCCAGCATGGCTGTTCCGTACAAATCATGTCATTCCGTTTTTTCTTTTATGACAAGATAACATATCTTACTGAGAGAGAAAAATCAGGTGTCAGAAGTCATCTTGGCTTTCGGATGACTTCTGACACTATTTCACATGATGCTTTCAAAATCAAGCCAGAATAGTGTGTTTTAACTGAAATTGATATGAGAGAAATGAGCAGCCCATGCAGTCAAACTCAAAAATTTATCAGGGAATTGCTATCAAAGGCAGAACCTGTTTTCAAACCGTTCTGTGGAAATGAATTCTGCCTCTGCCTCAATTTTTCTATTACAGAAAAAGATAGAAATTGGGTATAATTTTTATATTAATATGTAATAACAGCTTGCAAGGTTGGGGGAACAGAATTTAAATTCCAAACGCCTTCTTTGTGCTTGTTTTTACTGAATTTCATTCATATTTTTCCTTTTCAAGGAGCTACTGACCTCTGTTGAGTAATAAAATGAATAAATTCAGGATAAGAAATGATGGTCTAGGTAACAGCTAGATGTTACTAGATTACAAGGAAAAAATGGTGTTAGGAAGTAAAAGAGTTTTTATATTTTTTGGTGGGGGAATGGACATGTTCAGTTTTGCAGTCCATTCTAGGCCTGTTTTTCTTCAATTCTTAGAAATTCTGAGTCATATAAAGATCATTTTCTTTTTTCCTTCCTTAAGTACCCTTCATTAATCAAAACAGAAATCTTCAGTAATCAGTTTATAAAGGATAAATTCACTTTTAAATAACTAAAATGTGATATAATGCAAATGCCATTTTTTATTATATTATTTTTTAAAAATCAAAATCAAATTATAAGTACTTCATTAAGTGTGCCTGTGGCCAAAAAAGAAAAATCAAGCTTGATCATAAGGAAGCTTAGAAGTATAATATTGCAAGAATACAATTTGATTTTGTTGTACTTGATAAGGCTGTTACTTATATTTTTATGGTGTCTACTTTTCTGTTGGATAAGTGTTCAATATACCTGTCTAACCTGCTTTAATACTTCTGAAATACAGTGAAGGAACAATTCAGCTATTGTCAAGTGCAGATTTCGGAGTACCTTGCCACTGAATTGGAGACTGTACCATCCACTAGCAGCAAACTAGATAACATTTAGAAATGTTAAAGACTTCACCATAGCTGAAAATCAAGTGTGCCTTATGCTACGTGCTGTCCTGGATGTGCTTTAGAAGTGACAAGGCATGAGGCAAGGCTGCAAGTTCATCAGTTCAGATTGTTTATGCAGCAATATTTACAATGCAAGTCATCAATTTTTTTTCTCTCATTTCTTTCTGCTTATTCAAGAAAACTGCCGTGAGCTCCCACACAGGCAGAATTTCTCTTATCCAGCTGCTTGAGCTCTGACCCTCTTTCTGTTGAGCATAAGTTATAGGGTAGGACAGATGCTGTTTTCCTATGCCAAATCTTAGGACTACAGCATCAGTTAAGGGTACCCCGCATAAACTGGCTGAGAAATAAAGAAGATATATGTTTCAGTTAGGAAGCATTGACTGTACACTGAACACAGCATAAAGTACGGATGAAGCAGATACACCTGTACTAATTGCCTGCTGATGTTATTGTGCCACTTGATTAATTGTCCCAGCCACTGCCTTATAATTTCTGCTTCAATAGCCTTCTTTATTACTTATTGTTTGTGAGTAAAACAGGTAATAATTATTTTCAATTTTTGGGGTATTGGTGAAAGAATTTTATCAGCAAATCCAAAACACTAAGGAAAATTGTACTGTACATTTATAACTCCTGGAGTAGCAAAATTAACATGCAGTGGAATAAAACAAAATGATGAAAACATGACTGAATGGAATAACCAATGGGCAGAAATATTGAAACCACTGTATGCTTGATTTTTTACAGTGAATTAAGGAAAATGTAATTATGTTTCTTCTGGAAGGTTGGGAAAGGTCTGTGTGGGATGACACGTGCCATCACCACTGCCAGAGTGGGGAAGAAAAGAGCTTTAAAAAGTCAGCAAAGAGACAGCTCTTGAACAGTATAATCATTATCTCGTAGATGATGACTCTTAAATGCAAAAATGCATTTGATGAGACAAATATTCAGAGAATAAAATAAAAAACTTAAATATTCTCCGTCCTTATTTTGAAGCCTCTTTTAGAATGCTTTAGAGTGTCTACGGTATATATATACCTATATACCTATGCTCCCAGGTTTCCCTCATATAATTGCTACTGATTTGAATCATACCTGACAGAGCATTATATGTATAATGACACAAGTTAATGAAGAAACTACTAACTTTTAGCCTAAATGGAAAGTTTTAAGCGACAATTCCTTTAGAATCAGCTGCCCAGTTTTGATAATTTTTTATTGCTAGCATTAACATAAGCCTGCCACTTTTCTCAGTTGGAATTAGTTAAAATAACTTTTCCCATTTGGGAATCATAAGTACAAATGTGCATATCATTATGCACAAGAAATTTTGCACATGGTAGCCAAAATGCTGTAGGTG